GGGGGGGACAAGCTTTTTAGCAGGGCCAGCTGTGACAGGACAAGGGGGGATGGTTTTAAACTGAAGCAGGGTAGGTTTAGACTGGATCTAAGGAAGAAATTCTTTACAATGAGGGTGGTGAAACACTGGAACGGGTTGCCCAGAGAGGTGGTGGAGGCCCCATCCCTGGGAACATTCAGGGCCAGGTTGGATGGGGCTGTGAGCAACCTGATCTGGTTAAAGGTGTCCCTGCTCCCTGCAGGGGGGTTGGACTGGATGGGCTCTAGGGGTCCCTTCCAACCTAAAACATTCTATGATTCTATGATTCTTTTCCATACAGAACTGCCACACATCATTAAAAAGCTAGATTGTGCTGTAGACATCATGAGAAGAATGTGGGGTTTTGCCCCACCCCAGAGGACAGATCTCTTACTGTGAACTAGACCCCTGGATTGAAAAGAGGCAGCCTTTTTCCACAGAGATTTTGAGGATATTCTCACCATGTCTACCGTCCCAGTTCCCATCTTTGTCCCACTGCCAGCATCTCCTCTCCCTACCTGAGAAATCGGGCTGGGGTGCCCATAATGAGATGAGAGCCCAGGTTCTGTTTTTATGGGGCGCATTTCCTCAGTGGTCGTGGCGCTGCTGCTGCTGCTGGTGGAGCTGGTGGTCGGGGTAAGACTCTCACTGCTAGATGGACCTGTGAGAAAGCAGACAGTAAGCCAGGCTCTTCCCAAAGACCTTTCAGATCTACACACCCCCACAAAGTTAGTGTAGGTAAAAACAAAAAAAGAAACAGTCAGAAGGGCTTTGTTACTGCTGAAAGGCATTCAGATATCCTCCATTTTTGAAGAATCAGCCCATTTTTTGATTGGGTGTCTGACTCACAGGACACGATGGTCAGAAACACAAGCGCCCACATGTGTAAACTCCCTTGTTTGACACTTACCTGCTGGTGTCTTTGTTTTGTTAAGGTTCTTTGGCTTGCGCTTCCTCGTCTGAATGCCCTCTTTTCTCATGGCTAAAGGCCTTGGAACCTACAGACCCAAAGACAAAAGCACATTGGTTTCTGTATGTCCATAAGGTCATCTAGAAGAACATGATTCCAGCTTTACCCCGTAGACTCCATGAAAACCAGCTGATTTAATTGAAAGCAACAAGAAGATGGAGCCGAAATTCACTCGTCAGCACTACTGTGTGAAGAGGTATGTCAAAGCTACAAGATGTGTGTCCAAATGGGAATAGATAAGGGTTTTCACACCATGGGTATAGAGTGTTTTAAGGCCAGAAGGGAACAACAGCTCATCTGATTTACTTTCCTGTTTAACTCAGAGCAGAGGACATCTTTCTGGCTAATGCCTGCTTTCTGGAAAGGTCCCAAGCCCATGTGGGGAGACCTCCCTTAGGAACTGATCCCACTGAGATAGTCACCCTCATGGTCAGAAACACACTGGGATTTCTAGGAATAATTTTTTGGGTTCAGTAAGACACTCCCTCATGCACCTTGTTTTCCAGCTTTGACCTGTCTCTCATGAATGCTCTTCCAACTGCTCTGAAGCCCTGGAAATCCTTGAGAGCATGGTTGTGTGTAAAGAAACCCTAGGAGTAGCAATAAAAGCAGAACGGGGGTTTGCTAATAAGCAACTGCCAGGGCATTGAAGGCCTCTGCCTCTGCCATGGGAGGGTGGCCCCATTGCCACTGACTGGTGGGAGAAGGATTGGAGATTTGCATCTTAAAGTCCTGCTATGACTTGGACTCCAACAGGACTCTTCGAGATATATCAGACATGACACACATACAAGAAGCCCCCACTGACAGGAAGGGACTATCTGGACACCCATGCAAGAAAAGTCATCAATGGCTCCCATGACAGGTCTACAACCAAGCCTTAGCTGGGATCCAACACCCCGCATGGAAGGGCAAAGACCTTCTTTGTGCTTCTGACTCAGATTTTTCACTAAGGTGCCTGAATTTGGGTGGCAAGAACCTGGGCCTGGTTTTATTGGGTTTTAAAGACTTGGATGCAAAGGGTAGCTAATTAGTTTGTGAGAAATGCCCTGTATGCATCACCCCTTGCCAGTGTCAACCTGATGTGGTGTTGAGGGAAACTAAAGCCCAGAGGGACAGCAGGAAAAACAGCTCCAGGAGAGCAGAGCTGTGCAATGAACCCAATCCCCAGCTTGGTGCTGTCGATACCCTCCCCATAAAGAGTAAAGATCAGAGAAGTCGTTACCCCATGGAGCTTCATGTAGAGTCCGCAGGCGTTGCAGACGGGCTCTCCCTCGGCATTTCTGCGCCAGAGCGTGGTTGTCGTCGTGTGGCAGTTGGCACAAGAGAGGCCGACGCGACGGGAAGCCGACTGCGAGAAAATGCAGAGGGAGAAAACACATCAGCCCTCCACTGCTGCCCCCGGCAGCATCTCATATCCCAACGAGCTCGCTCCAGCACGCCTCAGGTTTTCCTCTCCTCTTGCCTCTCGTATTCCTCTGCCTTTTCCTCTTCTTGCCTTGCTGCACTGCATAACACAGATGCCTTTTTTCTTCCCCTCTTGCCTTTCAGCTTCTGCTCCAAACTGCCTTTCCACTGCCTCCTGCCTGCCAGCGCTGCCCAGACATCTCCGCTGTCCTTGGGGCATCTCAGATGGTGCCAGAGACATCACCTGAACAGAGCCCCAGATCTCCAGCAGGTCTAGTAGCAGCTTAGGGACCCACTGCGCATGCACACATCTACAGTAAGGTGTCTGGATCTCAGACCGTCCTGCCCCTTCAGGCTTCCCAAACCCTTCACCTTCCAAGCATCATGGCATATCCCAAGAAGACATTATCAATGCCATGAATGTTACATACTCCTTGCTGGCTTTGCGTGATGTTGCTCATGTGGCTTGAGGGGGAGATAAGAAAAAGTGTGCTTCCAGCAGCATCGTCTTCCTAAAGATAAAGAGGGATAATTAATAGGAAGCCACGCTAATGAAGCAGTACAGGGAACAGGCCATTTGAAGTTCCTTTTCTGGGTCAGCTGGTTTAGCCAGGCTCATAAGGCCACAGGAGGAAGACAACAGGCTTCAAGGCCAGGTTGGATGGGGCTGTGAGCAACCTGATCTGGTTAAAGGTGTCCCTGCTCACTGCAGGGGGGTTGGACTAGATGACCTCTAGGGGTCCCTTCCAACCCAAAACATTCTATGATTCTATGATTCTATGATATAAAATACCAGTTTTGAGCCTGGGAGCAGAGTGGGAGGTGAGGGAAGAAAAAGCTGCATCCTCCACGCCTGCCTGTCTCTTCCCAGCATCCTTCAAAGCTCAGGTCTTAAGAGGTAGAGGATAAATTCTGGATAGGCTGGGGTCGCATTCCCCCTTTGCTTGCTGATAAAGCAGGGCCTGAGCAAAAGTGCTAGAGCTGCGTGAAGATGCCTATCCTCGCTGTGCCTGACAAGGAGCCTACAGGGGGGAAATCTGGTGGTCTTGGACATTCACCCAGCTCTGCAGACCCAAACAGCACAGCTGGCAGCTGTGTGATGGGGTGAAAGCCTGGGAGATGAGGACCTGGCAGCTACCAGGGATTTCCTCTATGATCCTCACCATGGCTTTCTCTCTGTGTCGTCCCCCATTATAAAACAGGATCAGTTAATCTAATGCAGCAGGACAATAAAAAGTGAAATTCAAGTACGTCTTAAGACTCTGAAAGCTAGAAAGCCCTTTGGTGCAGAGAAACCAAGCATTAGCTCCAGTCCCCGGCCTGTGTAAGTGGACCAAGAGCTTAAAAAGAGAGCTTGCAGCAGAGGCAAAGATCTCCCCTGGCAGGGCGCTCTGGCGTATCTCAGTCTCCGAAAAAAGGGGTTACACAGTGACAGATTAAACCAAATACTGAATATATTTCTTCAGGCAGACCAGTTGTCATTCCTTTAACCACACCCCTACGTTGCCTCCCTAGACAAAGCCTCCTTTTCTTCATGGAAATTCTCTTCAGGAAGAAAAAGCAGGAATTTGGCCATTTTCGTAAGATTTCCAAATTGCCATTTGCCCAGTCAAGTGGCAGGAACACAAGTACAGTTCTGCACAGCTCCTGCATTTATATTTCTCGTGGGGTTTTCCAAGCCTTACCCCCGAGGCTGTGAAGAATTAAAAGCACGCATTGCCGCTTGCTCCAAAGGACCAAGCCTGGTACCCAACGGGCCGTTCCTGACTACGCAGGCGTGCCCAAGGATAACGGGAAATGAAGTTTCCCAGTAAATGAAACAGGGCAAGGGCCTGTGTGCCAGGGTTCAGGAACCACCCAGCTCGGTCAGTGCAATGCCTACGAAGGGGTTTTCACAAGAGGGCGCTGGGTGGCTGTGGCTGGTGGCAGCGCTGGAGCTGCCAGTGTCATTTTTGGCACTCGCAGGGGACGGGTGGGTTTGAGCACAGCCTGGGAGATGTGAAAGGCAGGGCAGGTTGGGGATGGAGCCACATGGAAGACGAGGAGTGGGGAAATATGGCCCTGGGGAATGGCTTGCCGGCTCCTTGCTGCCTGGCGTCATGATGGACCCATGTCCCTGGGGCACAGACTAGAGAGACCTCCCCCAAACTCCTCACAAAACAGGCTGGGACAGGCAGGATAGTTCCTGAACCAACCAAGATGTTCCCTTCCCCCAGGTTCCCCATGCATACCCCATCCTGACCCCACAGGCTTTGGGATGCCCACAAGCTCTGCATCATCCCACCCAAAGGAGCAGGGAGCAGGGTATCCAGAAATGGCTGGTCACCATGAAGTGGCTGGGGAATACAGACCCTGAAGGTAAGCGAAGATGGACTGGTGGCATGCTGGAGCTGGAAAGGGTTCCTATTCATCCTAATATGCCTACAGGGGTACTAAAGTAAAGACTGGCTTTTTCTAAACCAACGCCTCTGTGTCCTACAACCCCTTCCACTACCCGGCCTGGGTGTCTTTGCAGAACTAGTCTGCACAGTACAAGGTTTTGGAGTGTACCAAGCACAAGGCAGTCTGGCTTATTTTGGAAATCTGGATCAAAACCACCTAGATTGGGCATATGGGGCCCCAAGGAATTCAAACACGCCTGGCACCTCCACCTAGCTGAGGCCTTTTTGCCTCATCCTTGCACGCAGTCTTGCCCCACATGCATTGTGTGATCTTGACTTACCAGCCGCCTCTGAGGTTTGAACAAGGGCCGGTTGATGCCGTTCATCTTGTGGTAGAGCCCGCAGGCGTTGCAGAGGTAGTGCCCCGTGCCATCTCTCCTCCAGAGTGGGGTGGACATGGCCCCACAGTTGACACATTCTCGCCCCTCCGAGTAATCATCAAAAAATTCTGCTGCCATGATGGGAGAGAAGGGAAAAGATTTGGTTAATTCAGCAGCTGTACATTTAATTTCTGGCCCAGTTCTCAATATTTGAGCCCAGAAGTGGCATTTCAAGAAATCATGAACATTCTGATTTTATAGGGTGCAAGAAACAGTTCTTCCTTTCTCAAGGAAGCCCCTGGGATTATTGGGAAGAGGAACCCCTTTCCCTGCCATACAGTGTTGGCTGCAGGACTTCTGTAGCAGCGGGGATGTGCTGGGACACAGATACAAGGAGACAGAAATAGAAACCTTCCCTTCTGCTCTGACGTTATCCAATTTTCAAGATTGGACATAGCCAGGGCAAACAGATTGGGGCAGGCGAACAGCCGTGTTTACAATCAAGACAAATTGCCTGTGACCACAGATAAACACAAGCCCGGACCCACGAAGCAGAACTGCCCAGGGATCAGACAGCTGCCCAAGCATCTCTCAACGGGGCTCAAGCAAGTGTGGGCAGGGAAAGCCATGCCATGTGTCCCGCTGCCCCGCAGGACTGCTCCTCACCCAGCCCACGCCAGCTCCCACCCAGCCCCTCTGCAGAGGGCAATCGCTGCCGAGCACCAAGGGGAGAGACGTTAGAATTGTAGAATCACAGAATTGTTTAGGTTGGAAAAGCCCTTTAAGATCATCAAGCCCAACCGTTCCCCTAACCCTGCTATCCCACCACTAAACCCTGTCCCTAAGCACCTCATCTATCCTTCTTTTAAATCCCTCCAGTGATGAGGACTCTACCACCTCCCTGGGCAGCCCATTC